AAAAAAAAAAAAAAAAAAAAAAGGTATTTTAAAGGTAAAAAAACTGAAACAGTAATACATTTATCCATTATTATAACTGTTATCTATTACGAATTTTTGCACATACATTTACTCGAGGATGATCAAATAAACTCTTCGTTGTACTTAACACTTATTATAAAGAAACTCTGCACGACAGACGTTACAGAGTTGTTGTTTGATGTACAAATCTGCCTTAGTTTTTTCAATTTTTTGATTGCTTGAGTCTATTGTACGTAGTAGTATCCAAATTTTCATCAAGCTGTAAATCATTTACTGGTAGACTAACGTTTTTTTTTTTTTTTTACTTAGCATCGACTGATGTTCGTTTGATATACACTGATTACACTGATTCATTTTTGATACTACCTCTAACAGCATACAATGAAAAAAACTTTAAAAAGAGTAAAAAGGTTGATAAGGGTTAGTAAAAGTTTATTTTAAATGACAACAAGATTTTTGTCTCTTTTAAACACTATAATAGGGTAAAACGACTAGAAAACAGCAACGTGATGTCAATGTCATGACACCGTAGCTATAGCCGGACCGGTATCTGCAGTAATTTTCCAACTTCCATACATGTGCAGGTAACATGTTCTATGATTAACCAGATTTTTTATACCAATTTATTTAAAATATTGGTATTTTAAAAGAAAGTTTGATTACTGTTAATAGCAAAGTATTTTTTTTATTTTTTGATATTAAGTTTATCAGTTATTAACAACAGTGACAGTAACAGCAGTAACAGTTTTGATAGACGATTAGCTGTCACGAAGTAACACAGCAATCAGTACAGTAAACTCACTGTTCTCTTCAACTCTTTACTTATTCATTTTTTTTTTTAGCAACAGTAATTTGAATGGTTAAGTTTTATACAAATAAAGTAAATTGGAAAAAAAATTTTTTGTTGATTATTGTAGACAGTCTGAAAAATCTACAGTCTCAGGTAAGTTGACTGACTAACAGTGCTAAATTGTTTACGAGTTAAGTTGACAAATTTTGCATAAACTCTATTCGGTTATACCAAAAACAGTAATTGTTTATCTAATCTACTCGTTACACTGTAATAATGTCAGAATAACTGTAGACTGAACTTATAGTTTCTTGCTGATGAATATCACTTGATTAATTTATCAAGTGGTTTAACAACTTTTAACAGTTGATTTCTGTTGTACAGAATAGAAGAAAAAAAAAAAAAGAGCCAACAAACTATTTGTCAATGCCTTGTCAACTGAGTATAGCTGTAAAAGGAAAACTTTATTTCTGAGTACATAGACAAACATCTAACAACTAATACAAAAAAAAAAAACTTTTCTATTCTTTTGCATAGAAACCTCAAAAGCATAGATTTTCTAAAAAACAGTTATTTTAGTGACCAAGGTGCAGAAAACGATTTTTACGCTTAAAATTAATAGCAGTAAATATTTGGTAACGGAAGTAAGCTCTGACAACTGAAGCTCAAATAAATTTTTTTTTTTTCAATTTTTTTCTGCTTTTTTTTTTTCTATCGTCGTCTTTAGTCGACAAGAGACATTTCTTCTGTTACCGTTAAATATAAGCAAAAACGAAGTGTAAAAATGTAAAAAAAAAAGAAAAGAATAAAACGAATAAAAAACTAAAAGTCATTTCATTGTCAGCTTCATTTTTTTTTTTTGCCTAACACTATCTCTTACAAATCGTAGTTACTGTTTTTTATCTATAGAAAATTGGAAAATAAAAAAAAAAAATTGGCAAACTTCTCTCTGAACAAATGATATACATTGTTTAAACGTCGTTAAAACTGAACTCACTACAGACAGCACAGTTGAAGCAACAAAAAAGTTACCAAAAGATATTTTCTAAAACTTCGTTTTTACATCTTCAGCTTTTTGAGAACATCTATTTCAATTAATATATTTGTGAGTGTTTTCTTTTTTCATCACTTCAAATACAAATGATATTACATGATACCTGATGAATTCAATTTTGTTTCTATTGTTCAACAAAGTTTATCATGTTGGTAGAAACCACAGATAAACTGCGGTTATAAGGAAGACAACTGTTGTTGTTGAAACAACAGAACTGTTGCAAAGATTACTGTCGCAGAAGCATACTGATGGACTTAGACGACTGCTACAAGCCACTTCAGATGGTGAAGTTCCTTCTCGATAAATTGCTTTATGACATCCACGGATCACAAATGATAAGTCTAAACAGATAATTTTAATGCTTTAATCTTTTTTTTTGAAATATTGGAAGAAGAAGAGGAAAGAGAGAAAGAGAAGAATAAATTAGTGAGATATTATTTTTTTTTAATATTATAAAATCAAAGAAAAAAAAATAAACAAATTTAATTATAAAATTTTTAATTCTATTTTAATT